CTGGGATTAAAGGCATGTGCCACCACCGCCCAGCTGAGGGCTGTCTTTTAATACACTCATGACGACTGCCTTCTAACACATCCCATGATGGCTGCTTTATCATAGGCCTCATAGTCTTCTTGTTTAGTCTGCAGACATGTTTATCCTCCTCATATATGGACCTAAGCAGCAGTCTGGAATAGGCCTTCCTCATGGGAAGTATGCAGAACTGAGACTTACACATGAACAAGCAGATGGGGTCTTGAAGCAAGGAACAGGAGCCAAGATGGAGTCATGGGAGCACTAGACTTGGGCTGCATCCAAAGCAAGAGTACTTTTTCTTCTGGCCCTGGATGGCGACTGCCAGTCTGGGGAGACACTTCCCACCCTTTTGCGTCGTCTGTGCTTCTACCCCTACTGATCCTGCAGATCTGCTCACACAGAGACCCCTCAAGGGACATCTGGGTGGTCAGGACATCCCCTAGGCCACTCTGAAAACCCTGGCCCTCCAAGTCAATAAAAGAAATCGAGTTGGGGTGAGGCACTCTGAGGCCTTCTAGACCACTACAGTCTCTGTCTGCCACCCCTGCTGGGCCAGGCTGTCTTCTCCAGACCTTCAACTTCTCCACCCATGAGAATCTTTTGCCTAAGAAACTTTCATGAGACTCCAAGGACACCAGTGTATACAACAGGGATACAAGCCAAACATCCCCATGGATAGGTCCATACAACAGGCATACAAGTCAAACACTGGCTGATCATAAAACCATAAAGTAATGTATCTTAATTCAATTATCTGGTATGTAGGATCTTACCATTTATTAAAGATGAAAGCAAATTAGTTGCTAATTAGATGGATGGGCTTGTTTGTCCAACACAATACAATCCAAAATTATGCTGATCTGATACTTACATGCTAAGTAAGGCTGGCAGGGAAATATTCAAAGCCTTTGTTTTCCATGACGCTGTATACAGTGCAGAGAGTGTGGGTGGTGTGTTCAGAACATAGGCTGTGGTGAAGTCACACAATGCAGCCCAGGCAAACACTTCCAGAAACACCTCCAAATCATAGTGTCTGATTTTGAATCTGTTTTGGGTATCGTATGTTCGGAAATCTTTTACTATTACTAATTTTTTTTTCTTGAGGCTCTAACATGCAGTTATGTGACCCTATATGGGGTCAGATCCAGTTTAAGAAACTTTGACAATGTCCTGGAGCCTCAAGGCACCGCCACCCCAGGCTCACCAGCCCACTAAACAGAAGGACAGACACGTGGAAGGACATTACAGAGCCTGGCCCAGAGCAAACTGTGCCAGTGCCCCCTGCCCGTGAACTCACATAAGCGCACGTGACGTTTACACACAGAACTTGCTCCATTTCAGAATCCTCTCCCACGTTTCTGTTTCTACGAAGGAGTCTCTGTGCACCAAGGAACCTCAAGACTATGCCTCCTTGGACAGACAGTCCCATCCTGCCACCATCATGCTATGCAGTTCCAAGAGCAGCCAGGCTTCCTTGGTGTCCAAGGAACACCAGCTGTTTATGGAGGAGGCCTACAATTCAGGTGAGGATGGCCTGGAATACAGCCAGACAATAGGTCCCATCAAGTCCCTCCCCCGGAAGCAGCTCTGAGGGTGAGGACTAGAAGGAGGCTCTCTCCAGGACTTCGTGTTTCCCAAAGGCTGTGGACAGCTGTCTGTGAGAGCCCTGGTTTGCTCCTGCCTTCTGGGGCACCAGCAACATAAATCAATGTCCCCTCCTCCTCTTGACCACACTTCCTCTCCGACCACACCATTTCACACCTCAGAACTTTAGCGTAGACCTGGACCCCTCTTTCTGGAATGCTTACCTCTTCACTCCAATGCACAGGAGTGTCAGAGGACTGGATAGACAGTGGGAAAAGTCAGAGAATTGATTTCTGGAAGGATAAAGAGATGGGTTTTGAGTGAATTTATGACTGCCTGTGTGGATATATTGCTAAATGGATCAAAACATGTACGAATAGATAGAAGTTAGCTAGGTGAATGAATGGACTGATCAGTGGGTGGATTTGGGAGTGCACAAGTGAATGGGTGATTAAACAAATGTGAAATGGACAGACAGGCGAATGGAGAGCTAGATCACTGGATATACAGAAACAGGGATGAATGGGAGGGTGGGTGTGTCGATAGGTGGATGAATGAATAGATGGAAATATGAGTGAGAGAATAAGAATATGCTGATGAGCGTGCATTTATCTGCTCTGTCCCATCTTAAACCCCGTGAGGGACCCAGCAGAAAGTGAGACTATCAGACTACTTCCCCATACATCCAACTCTTGTTTTCACTACACGCTTGTCCCTCCTTGCCCACCCAACCCTCTGACACAATATGCCCTCCCCAAGGCCCACCATCCTCATACCCTTCTTGTCAACTTCAGCCATCTGCTTCAAGATGCTCCAGGACATAGCCACCTCAGACCCTCTCCAACTCAAGTACATCACCAAGAAGCTGAAGAAGATGGCTCAGAGGACCCCCAACCTGGTGATGGAAACCATCCATGACTACTTCAAAGACAATGCAGAGGTGATGTTGCTTGGGCCCCTGGAGCAGGCATTGGAGCACAGGGGAAGAAGATTGGACCTCAAGTGAGGTTCAAAGTCTGAATCCTACGTAGGGCAGTTGCACCATTTGGGTAAAATGTCAATCTCCTTGCATGCCAATAGGCTCAGTGGGGAGAAAAGAAAGTGTACTCACGTGGTCTCACCGTGCTCAGAGCACTCTTGTGAGGTAGAGGTTAGGACTTTCAAAGATGAGAGGCGATGGCTTCGGGGAAAAGGGGATTTACCTAAGGTCACAGAACCAGTACATGGTCGAAACTGATGGCTGAATATGTGGGGGCAGGGCGGTGGACAAATGGATGGATGATGGATTGGTGGGCAGATGGATATAGTAATTGATGGAGAGGTGGGTTGATAAAAGGAGGGAATGAGGGATGTGTGGGTGATGAGTAAACATGGGTATGGATGCATTCACTTATGAATGCTTGAATGCATGAATGCATGGATGCATGGATGAGGGAAAACCTGTCTAAATGTTGGTAAAGAAATGATCTCCCTTTGAAAGCAGAGTTTTTAAATCCCACAGCAGTTCCCTGAGGACAGGAACAGGCTTTTCTCCCTCTCAGGTCTGCAGACCAGGCTCAAGGTCAGCACAAGGCAGGTGTCCCCTAAGAATTGCCAAATGAATGTGTCCACTTGTGCTCCCTCTCACCAGCCTCATTGCACAGCCTCCTACCAGGGTTCTCCTTGGCATTCCCCATACTGTCAGACACCATGGTCCCAACATCACCTCTGTCCTCCACAGATCTCCAGCCGGCACAGATTCCGACTCTTCCAGGTCCTGCAGGCTGTCATTGGAGCCCTTGATGTCTTGGAGGAGATATGGCAGAGGAACTTCATGCAGCTGGCCCTGGAGCACATGACCAAGTCCACGGTAGGCCTCCCTCCCCTGGTACACAGACCAGTACCCCAAGGGCTTTGGTGTTGCGTCGGTTGCCTGGGGGTTCAAACTATGTGGGTGCACAGGATTTCTGAGCTTTCCCAGGTATTTTCTGTATATTCGTGTCCTTGACGTGGCCTCTTGGTGCAGAGCCCTGCTAGACTAGGGTCCCAGGGCTCTTAGGCAGAAACCAATCAACCAGCTGCAACTCTACTCTCTCTCGGAATGTCTCTTCCTCACCATCCCTTCCCTGATGCCCATACACCAGCATCTGAAAGGCCTATGCCAGGTCAAGCCACTCCTCAGGTTGTAACCCAGCTTCAGCTCCTTCCTCTTGGGTTCCTGCTTGATGGAGACATGCAAGCTTGGGACTCAGCCGCCTGAGCTCACCAAACCAGGCGTGAACCAGAGATCTCAACGACCCTCCCGCACCAGTCTGTAGGCCATAATGGCCTCCAGGGGCCTGGGACAGGTTGTTTTCTCCAGATCCACTGGTTCTGGGAAGCTTTGTGTTGAACTCCTCTATACACAAGACACAAATGGTGTTCAGGGACCAGTGACTGTCACCAAGATGTACCACAGTCCAATCTCTAGCCTTCTATACATGAGCCCAAGCTTATTCTCTGTCTGTAACACACTGAAGAGCTCAGAAGGCTAATGTCATGGGAGAAAGTTTGTAATGCCATCTCCCCGCCACATCCAAACCACGGTCCAGGCATTCCCACACAAGGGCAGGAAGCCCACAGAGGGAGGTTCTGGCTGAGAGACTATGGGTATGCTAAGTAACTGGGTAGCAATGGCCCCCAGGCTATTGATGAGACACAGGTTGTCCAGGGCCCATGATTGCAGAGTTATAATCTAACTGCAATAGCAACGCTCACACACCCATCAGGATATGAAGAACTCTGGCTCCTTGGGTCTTTCACACAGTCCTGTGCTCAGTCAGCTTACCAGGTAGTTATCATTACAAGAATAGGTGCATCTGCCCTTACCAAGAGGTTCTTATGCCCCAATTTTACAGAAAAAGGGATGGGGGGGTGCTCATAGAGCTAGGGAGACTTGCTAGCCCAGGTGATGGAGAGCAGATTTGATGAGCCGCCTGGTTCCCAGGGAAGTCTGAACAGCCTTGATGTGCAGAGAAAAATGGGGAGCAAAGGCTGTGTCCACCTCATTCTCTTTTTTTCAAGTATTTTGTTTTTATTTTATCATTGTGAAGTATACTGGACACACTGAAAAGCTGCACAGCAAAGGCAAGACTGACCGCAAGTGCCTGCCATACCAGGGTATGGGGCACCATGAGGATCACCATGAATCTGAGGCCAACCTGGACCACACAGTGTGTTCCAGGCCAACCTGAGCTATGGAGCAAGGCCCTGTCTCAAGAAAGTAAAAGAAAACAAACAAACAAACAAACAAACAAAAGTAGTACACACGTGCAGGTACAGGCCTACTGTAGCAATGCTCTTTGGGCAGGGACCATGGCTAGAGGTGAAGGCTAAAGGTCATCTTGGGATATGGTCTAGCTTCCATCTCCTGTGGACTAGGTCCCTCCTGATGCTTTCTGACACGAGGCTGGGGTTTGGCAAGCTAAGTGTGGGCACGGTGATGGGGGCAGGGTTGCTCTGTATTTTCTGCCTCTGAACATGCCCAGATGGGCCTCCACCTCTGCACCACAGGGTTGTTCCAGGAAAGCCACGGTTTCAGGACTTGTCATGGGCTCATATTATCCAAGCAGAGAGAGTCTTTAGTCCTTCCAAAGCCCAGGCTTCTGTGAGGAAGGGACTAGAGAGCCAGGGCAATTGTCCCTTCCAAACGTTCTTGGTGAGGAATCTGCCAGGCAATGTACAACTCCAACTTAAGAGCAGATGGGAAAGAGGAAGGCTTGGACTGCAGGAAAAATTTTGAGTTCTCTGCTTCTAGGAATCTCCCCATTCTCTTGAACCATGGACTGAGAATCACTGTCCCCTAGCCTTCATGCCCTCAGTGTGGTTGTTAAAATCCAGGGCCATCTGAACCCAGGTCCTTCACATATATATATATATGTCTTGCTTTTCCTCCAAAAGTCTAGCATGGCTTTGCCTGGAATGCTCCACACAGAACACTGAGTCTAGTAACAGAACTGTGGTCATGGCCACACCCACTCCAACAAGGCCACGCCTCCTAATAGTGCCACTCCCTATGGGCCTATGGGGGCCATTTTCATTCGAACCACCATAGCATGTGTCCTCAACCTGGCACCAGCATCCTCCTTTGATTCGAGAAAACGGCTCAGCATCCTGTACTGAAGACACCATGTCTCTGCTCTATGTCAGTGCTGAGACAGGACTTCCTCTCCATGCCTCTTGCCTTCTCTCCTCTCTCCTCCCCTCTCTCCCCCTCTCCTCCTCTCCTCCTCTCTCTTCCCTCTCCTCTCCTCCCCTCTTCTCTCCTCTTCTCCTCTCCCCTCTCCTCTCCTCCTCTCCCCTCTCATCTCCTTCTCTCTCCTCTCCTCTCCTCCCCTCTCTCTTCCTCTCCTCTCCTCTCCTCTCTCCCCTCCTATCCCATCTTCACCTCTCTGCACTGGGAGTCTACAGCATTTCAAACCGTTCACCAAGTATTGTGGTGTCATATCTAGAACTTTGGGGATTAAATCTTTCTATTTTATTAGCATATATTCATTGTGCACAGCAACCGGCTTTGCTGTGACACAGAGAAACGTGTGCATCGTGCCTCTTGTTTTCATTCACCCTTGTCATTCTTTTCTTCCAGCTCCCACCAATCATCTTCCTCTCCCCAAGTAGTCTCCTTTCCATTTTCATGTATTTCTTTATGTATTTTCTTAATCCAGATTCCACATATAAGATGAGACAGGCGATAGTCATCTCTCTCCATCTGGCTTATTTCCCTTGATCTCTGTTCCATCCATTTTCCTGCAAACATGAAAAATGGAAAATTTCAGCCTTTGTATGTCTGAATAAAGCTCCATTGTGTGTTTATGCCACACTTTCTGTATCTGTTCATCTTCTGGTGGAGAACGAGGCTGAGGCCATACCTCGGCTGTTGCAAACGGTGCCGTGTAAACATGGATGTGCTCAGGTCTCTGTGGTATGTTGACTTAAGATCCAGGAATGGTAAAGATGGACCATGTGGCACATCTAACTTTCAGTTCTTTGGGGAATCGCCATACTGATTTCCACTGGTGCTGCACAAGCACAGGATTGCTTTCCCACCAACAGTGTACAAGCCCCACCCCCTAACACCACCCACGCCAGGACTTGTTTTCTTGATGATAATACCTTCTACTGGTTAGGCTTTATTGTCAACGTGACATAAGCTAGAATCGACTGGAAACGGGGCCTGAGAGCTTGTTGGCAGAACATTAACTTGATTGTTAATTGATGCAGAAGGGCCCAGTCCACTGTGGGCAGTTCCATCCCTAGACAGAAAGATAGCTGAGCAGAAGCCAGTGAGCAAGGCAGTGAGCAGTGTTCCTCCATGGTGTCTGCTTCAGTTCCTGCTATGACTTCCCTCAGTAATGGATTGTGGCCCGGGAGTGTAGGCCAAGTAAACCCTTTCCTGCTCTAAATTGATTTCAGTCAGTGAGCGCTTCACCACAGCAACAACAACAACAACAAAAAAAAAGCAAAAGAGAACACAGCCATTCTTCATCGGGTAGTAGGGAATCTCAATGTAATTCTGACTTGGATTTCCCAGACGGCTAAGGATGTTGAACACTTTTTTTCATTCGCTTATCGACCATTTGTACTACTGCTTTTGAAAACTGCCTGTTCAATCCATTATTGGATGATTTGTCTTTTGGTGTTTAATTTTCTTAGTTCCGTAAATGCTCTTGATATTAATCCCCTGTCAGATGAATAGCTACCAACGATTTTCCCCCATCCTGTGGGCTGACTTTTCACCCTGGTAATTGTTTCTTGCGCTATGCCAAAGCTTTTTAATTTCATGCAATCCCATTTGTCAATTTTTGCAGTTGTTTCCTGAGCTATTAGAGCCCTTTGCAGAAAGTCCTTGCCTCTGTTATGTGAACGAGAATTCCTGGAAAGAAGCTGTGTCTGCAAAGGTTGATTAACTGACGAGAACGTCAGCCATGTGGAGAGGATAGAATGTTACAGACGCAAAGCCTAATTACAGTTTATCTTGGGCTATCTTTAGCCTACCAAATAGCCATCCCTTGCCCTCCTCTGTGTCAGAACAAATATTCCATCACTAACCGATAAAGACAGACTTAATATCCTAACAGATTAAAAAAAATTCAGAATGTATTCACTTATCAAAACCCTAGTTTTCCACCAATCAAAGGGATGAGTGTTATCAGATAGTGTCTAAGGCCCAAAGCAAAGCTCCATCTTGCTTTAGTCCACTCATATGGTACATCCACCAACCTATTTGGAAAATGCCTTGACTATGTTCATGACTACCTAAATACCTAAAAAGTTCATGAAAATACTACCTCATTGGGACATGAGTTTTGGAGCAACCTAAATCTATGTTCCAGAGCCATGGCCACTCATACTTGGCTCTGGAATAAACTGTCTCTTATGCCCTTTGAGATGAGATCTCTGTTTTTGTGCCAATACCCATATCTTGAGGTGTTTCTTCTATTTATATCTTGAGGTGTTTCTTCTATTTTTCTTTTCTTCTAGCAGTTTCAGATTTTCAGGCCTTGCATGAAGGTCTTTGATCCACCGTGAATTGATTTTGATACAGGGTGAGAGATAGTGATCTAGTTTTGTATTTCCTCCTGTGGATGACTTGTTTTTCCCAACCCCATTTGTGGAAAGCTGCCATTTCTCCAACATAGGTTTTTGGCATATTTGTTGCAAATCAAAAGGCTGTAGATTGCTATGTGGGTTTATTTCTGGGGCCTCCCATTGGTTAGTCTGGTTTGGTGTCAGTGCCACACTGGTTTTGTTACTGAGGCCCTGTAGTATAATTGGAGATTAGGTATGATATTCCAGCATTGCTGTCCTTGCTTAGGGTTGTATTGGTTGGTA